ATAAACTGTCGATGATTTATAGGTCGTGTCAGAATGTCCTAGTCATTGCCCAGACTGCCAGTTTTAGGGGGCAGGACTGAGGTGTGGTGTGCACAGTGTGCAAGTGTTTATTTGGAATTGTTCATGTTTTATTTTCTCTTGAATTTGGGACTTCCCCCACAACCTCACGGGCCTGACTGTGGCATTTTCATTCTGATGGTCAGATTTGACTAATTTTACTAATTAGATTGTGTAATTTCCAATAAATATTGCAAAACCATGAAGTTAACTCGATCTGGTTTGTTTGGTATATTGTCTGATCATGTGAATCTATGTATATTTTAAAAACAGGGTATATTTACACACACACACACACACACACACACACACACCAACACAAAAGAATTGAATATCCAAATGGGCAAGGCAAAAAACTGTGGTCAATACCTAAGATTTTTGCATTAAAATATCCCAAAATCACAAGGCCAGTGTTATATATTTAGTTAAGATGATAACTCACAATATTCCAAATGTTTCAAACAATGTTTAAATCGCAAGAAAATTGAGATTTTAACCAAGGAAACGGAACGTGTCAGCAGGGGTGAGCTGGGAGTCGCGAGTCAATCGTGTCATATCTGCTTACCTCGGTTTCCGCTCTTACTACGTGTAGTCCTGGACAAATGCGGTAGTTGTAGTTGTGCGTTAGCGTATATCAAACGACAGCTTGTTTCGCGCATTTGTTATGGAATGGAGCACATATATTCTTTTAATTTATTCTCGGAATGTGAACTGTTGGCTGTAAAGGGGGTCGCACACCGGACGAGAAGCGCCGCGCCACGTTTAGGACAACTCCACAGTAACGTTATCGAACACCGGACGCGCACTTTCTCATCAGTGCATGGCCAGCAATATTGTTATGTTTAATGACAGAAAATGAAGATAATGTCTGTTCTATGTTATTGTACTGTACAATTAAATACAATCTGAGTCTGCATTCTAAAAAAACTTTACCTCAGATCATCCGTTCACAGAATGAATTGAGAATCTCACCTGAAAAATCTAATAATAATCAGTAATTGTCATTCAAGCAGCTGATTTCTGTAAATCACTGCAAAACTAAATGCATATTGCAGCATAGGGCAAAGTCAGGATCCATTAGCAACGGTTTGAGGCAAAAATAATTACAATTTTATATAAAACTATGTAAATGGCGCTCTGTGGCGCAGCAGAGTTTTGAACACGGTCCTGAAACGTTGCTGGGCGCCGCGGACAGACGCCGAATGGCGCCGGCGGTATGTATACACTTATAGATAATAATGTGTTCGAATAATTATGTGGCGCGACGCGGCGCTGCAGCTTCTCGTCCGGTGTGCGACCCCCTTAACGTTAATTTTGTGAAACTGTAGCTGTGGTTGAATACTTACACGACATGAAAAGATGTGTCAAATGTACATTCTTGATTTTTTATTTTTATAAAGTTACCAAAAAGGAGGACCAGCCACGTCAACTCCTTGCAAGAGACCTGCCCCTTCAAACCCTCTCCACCATAGCTTCGTCCAGTGACTCGTACAGTAACATCTGTGATGATAACTAATTTACTTTTAAACCTGACTTTTCTTGCGCGTTATTTCAGTTTAATGAAAAACAAGCATGTCATTAAACGCAACATTTATAGAAATCGAACTTTACCTCATCCATGACTACTAATTTTCGATTCCCGTCTGACTGATTTATCCACGGTGGAGTTGAAAACAACAGTTCCCATCATTCCGCGTTCCTCCACGTCGTCATCAAGCAAAGCCAGTGTTGTTGTTTTGAATGTAGCGCCCTCTAGCGGCATCTAAATCTTAGGTATTGCACCTTTAACATGTACAAGTCTGTTGTATTGACAAAACGTTATAGTCCATTGATCTAGGTTGAATTTAAGTCATATGAGTAAGATATATATTTTCAAGGTGGTTCTTGTGAATGCAGTTTGCATGAATTATTGATGTTATAATATCAAGTATATTATTGAGAATTGTTTTACGTAAAGAGATATGATACAGATCATATTTCAATTTGCACACAGCTTTATAAAGTCATAAAAGTAAAATATGGAAAAGACGTGTGCAATTGAGCCTGCAAAGAATGCTGTCTATTCACTGGTGAAAATATAAAATAAACATTTGTCAATCCAGCGGTGAAAACGGAAATGACGGAGAAAATGTAAATGACGTGCCCATGCACTGGTGTCCAGAAGTGAGTCTCGGGGCTGCTGGATGCTGTTGGCAGGTTTGGACGAGAGTTTCTGACTCGGTGAAGAGTTTATTTCCGTTATTTCACTGCATGTCTGCCGTGGACACTGGACACTGAACGAGACTACTATTGCTCTTTTCTCCTGAATCTGTGTCCTACGGCCGATGACGTCAGTGCCGGGTCGAGTGTGTGTGTGTTTGGAAAGACTGTCCTTCTGCCACTGGAACTGTGATTCTTCAGTTCTCCACTAGATGGCGATGAAAACCCATTAATAATCCTCCAGATGAGTTCCAGACTCTCTGCGGTCATTAAATCCCAGGATGTCCTTCGAATGAGAGTAGCGCTGTAACCCCGCGGTCCCGGACACACTCCCCCGTGGCCTCCCGATCGTCCCAATCACTAGGCTTGTTTGAGATGCGCCTCGCCTCGCCTGCAATGTAGTCGAGAGTAGGCGGCTGCAGTGAGGGGAGGAGTGAAAAAAGCGCAATCAAGCCGGACAGATCTAGGGTTCTCGCAGTGAATCAGACACCTGTGAGATCAAAGGCGGATATCGCGGGATTAACGGGATTCACGCTCGTGCACGTGTTGCTAATAAACTGGATGCGAGTTCTGTTGCTTTTATATAAAAATAAATAAAATGTAAATAAAACCCAAACTACTTATTTAATTACATTCCAAATAGCCTATGGTTTATCAATCTTTTTTTTCTTTAATACAGACGTGTTTTTATATAGCCTATTGTTTTAACAAAGATGAAATATAACCCATATGGCACTGTCAGATAGTTTATTCACCCATAGCCTATGTATACACATAAAACATGATATCAGTTTTAAAATCAAACATTTTAAAAGAGAACAATTCATCTGGTGTTCTTTTATTTTTATTTATTTTACTTTTTTATTAGAATGCAAGTTACAAACATAGCCTACCTACAAGCACCACAATTCGTGAAACAAATAGGCCTATTATACAGCGACAAATACATAAACATCAGAATAAAATTAATAGGCTAATAAAATAAATAAATCAATCAAAATAAGCTTATCTTAAATAGACAGACTTACAAACTTCATCATCTATAAAATGAGAGCTATTTTTCACTTGAACATTTTAGAGTAGGCCTAGTATATTTGAGTTACTGACTATAGCTTTCTTATTTTTAACCCGTTTAAGAGATTCACAATATAGATCAGTTTCAATTTGAAAAAAAATAAATAAATAAAACATGGCCTTGATTTGGAGAATTTAGCTTAATGAATATGGAATTTACCTTCATCACTGTTGTTTAAACCAATGAGCATTAAGCTGTGTCGTCAGCAAGTCGTTTCCCATCATGCTTTTGATCAGCGCAGTCGGTGGAGAGCAACTGCGCGCGACTGCAGAATCCGACCCTTCCGCCTTGCGCTCGCGAGAGTTTTTTGACATACGTCGGCATGACATCAGAGCCAGACGGACCGTTCTCGGACACATTTCTAACCGGCATGCATCTCGCGCTGATCACCGGTGATCGATTCTGCGCAGAATTTGCTCATCTCAAACAAGCCTACTGTCTCATCTCCATCATCATCAAGCAGGTGTGTGTGTGTGTGTGTGTGTGTGTGTGTGTGTGTGTGTGTGTGTGTGTGTGTGGTGTGTTGGCGCATCATCAGGTGAGCTGCACACACTGCTGGTATTAAAGAGACTCCCCCTCCCATGTAAAGCGCTTTGAGCACCCAGAAAAAGCTATACGTAATGAATTATTATTATTATTATTATTATAAATCACTGTGACTGGAACAAAAGCAAAATAAAAGTAAATTGACAGATTAATCTAATTTGACATATTAGTTTTCGAATCCAAAGGAACACATGTATTTTGCATTAAATGTTTATTCTTACATTTATTGCAAAAATCTTTTCAGTGTTAAAACACATTTCTCTTTTATTTATATCTTGTCTAAAGGGTTTCATCTGCCGTCACGCCACACCGGCTAATGGACGCCAAGTGTTTTTCTATAAAACGAAGTGTGTCAGGTTCTCTTTTAAAAGCGTGCGGTCAGCGTTCCTCAGCGAGTGTGTTTGCGCTTCATGTGAAGTTAGTCTTCGCTGATGTCGGAGTCACCGCAGGGAACGACACACACTATAAATGATCTAAATGTTTGTCATGTTTTCTCTCAGATTGTGTTGCCACAGCCGGCCTGCAGCCTCGGCCCCCAGCGCTCTCACACCGCCACACTGGATTGTGGGAAATGAGGCAGACGACCAGTAAATACCAGTTGCCACGAAGCCCTGAAACGGCTCTCTTCACACTCGGCTCGGCACACGACAGGCACTTATTCCCACAGCGGGGGCGCAAGTATAGGCTCCGGCCTTCATCATCATCATCATCATCCTCAATGTAACACCATTATCATCATCCTCTTCATCATCATCATCATCATCCTCAATGTAACACCATTATCATCATCCTCTTCATCATCATCATCATCATCCTCAATGTAACACCATTATCATCATCCTCTTCATCATCATCATCATCATCATCCTCAATGTAACACCATTATCATCATCCTCTTCATCATCATCATCATCCTCCTCACTGTAACACACTGTAACACCAACACCCAATCATCATCTTCACCCTCACTGTAACACCACCATAATCATCCTCTTCATCATCACAGCGGGGGCTCGAGTACAGGCTCCGGCCTTCATCATCATCATCATCACTGTAACACCACCATAATCATACTCTTCATACTCAATGTAACACCATCATCATCATCATCATCACCATGTAACTGGACACTGACAACCTTAATCTGATCTTCGCACGGTCCTCTTTACATCTCTTTAAGAGAACAACTGAATTGTTCAATAAATAAATTAGCCACAGTTCTGCGCTCCTTCTGACCAGCAGGAAAATGCTTGATCTGCGTCTCCAGTGAAGGCCTGCGTAGATGAGCAGTACAATCCCGTCCCTGTTGGGCCATTACACAAACTAAAGCATAGAAATGTCATAGTTGAAATTCTTCATCCACGTGCAGGAGAAAATCATCCATGCCGGGAAACACATAACAATAATCTGGTGGGTTATTATTATTTATAAAGAATCCTCTGTCACAATGTCGGGTGTATGTTCCCTGGTGTCCACTAGAGGTCCTCTTTCCCCACGGTGTCATTCACTTTTGGAACTACGTTCCCCACAATCCTTGTCTGCGCTCATCACTGTTCATTGCACTCAGCTGTTCCCCATCATGATTGTTATGTTCTGTGTGTATAAAATACCCTGCATGTTTAGTGTTTGTTACGCAGCTCTTGAAGTATGGCACACCACTTTGTGAGTTTTGCCTGTTCTTTGTTTTGTTTTTGTCTCGGATTGCCTTCTGTTTCCGTTGTGTGATTCGTGACATATCCTCTCGCTATTGTACTGTTACTCTCATGCATCTTCTGAAAAGTGCAGTATCTAGAAGATAGAAGCACATTTGAAATAATGTGATCATTAAACAGCATATAAATCCAAACTGTCTAACGTTAGTGAATGAGATGTCAAGCCCAGACAAGCTTTGGGGCGTTGATGGATCGATCTGTGTTTTAATCATTGCTTCAAAATCCCATCTGTATTAAGTCTTTGACAAAAACTTTTGTTAAAAATGTTGCTTTTGTATGAAACTTACTTCCAATCAAGTGTTGATAAAAAATGATTACATAAAGCTACAATAAAATGTTTTTGTCTTTGATTTCAGAGGATGCGAGGTTATCTTACAGTCAGACGCACCCTAACTCTCGGATGAACCGAAGAAGAAACCACCGTGAATCGTTTGCGAGACAAGACAACACTGACCACAACAGCGAGTATAACTGCACCGGAGATAACGAGGTAATTAAGGAGACAACAGGTTAATGGGATAACTAATCAGACACTGGGAAAACTGGGTCAAAAAGACAGGCACTGAACTAAAACACAATGAGACAACACCACCCTGACAAATATACAGTTCTGTCATGAAACTCCAGATGGCGCAGGCCTTTAACTCTACCTGTCCGTAATCACATCGTTCTTCACGGGCACAGCTGATTGGTTCCTGCTGTATCAGTAGCCAATGAGCTCGTGTGCACAACTGTCTTATGGTCAGTGCCTCGTTGGCAAGAGGGAAGGGCATATAGAGCTTGGTGACGTGAGCCACAGAGCGCCGCGGTGGCTGATGGGTAGCGCCGCCATATTGTGAGGCCAACTAGTCATGGCCGTTCCACTGTCAATCTGTAGGCCGACGCGAATCCGGACCGCTAATATATAAAGTAAACGTTTCGATTCATTTTCAAGTTATGGGAAGAACTTGTTGTGATGTCCGTTCACACGGCCGACAACGAATAGCCAGATTTTCTTCAGCGTTCCCGTCTGGAGGCAGAATCAAGGAAACTGTCGGTTGTGACGCAGTCGTCAGACGTAACTACACACATCAAGTTTTCCAGCATCCCAAGATTGCTAACAGTGTTCCAGATATTTGGATTCAGGTGAGTGTCAATGTATTAGGGACATTGTACAATTCCACTTCAAAATATCTCGGAGATAAATAGATCTTATTATTGAATTAATGTTAGAATGATTTTCTAATCAGTTAGTTAGACACAAATAGTATTTTCTTTTTTTCTTGATCACATGTCCCTGATTGTATCTAACGTTGTATTATAATATCTAAAAGAAATATAAGTAATTTGTAGGTCAAATGTAGTGAAAAAAATACATTAACGAAGGAGATTTTACAAACACAGGATGGCAGGTATCATAATATTTAACGTGATCCTGACTGAGGACTGACATTTAGGACAAGATTTGTTTTTGTTCTTTGAATATGTATTGGTAAACAATCCTATTTTAATTTCTTATTATGATTTTAATGTTAAATAAGGTGTGATTTCTATAATATGCATCTTAAAATGTATTTATGTTGTTTACAAAGAAGTTGTTTCACTGTAGTGTTTTTTGTTTCGTTTATTTCTGTATATTTTTTATGTCTTGAAGGTAAACCAGCATGTGAAATGGATGAGTCTAATCCTGACTGGGCTCCAACACTGCAGGAGAGGAGATGATAGTGAATGTTTGCTGTATACTTCTAAACTTGTGTCTCAGTGTGGTTGTAAAACCAGTTGAAAATTTGCATGTTAAAACTTTCCTTTTAATGTTGTAAATATGTATATTACTGGTGTAGATGTATATTAGTTTTGATGACACTTTATATACTTAAATACAACAGATGACACTATCAATTTGTAGAAACTGCTTTAATACAAATTAAATTTGCAAGTACAAAAACAACAGTTTCTGGGGGTGGAAATTTTGTTGAATTTTTCCAGCGATAAATGTATCTGTGTAAACAACTTCAGAAACTACAACACAAAAGATTACAACTTGTTGCAACTCATCAACCACATCTAGTATCACTCGCTGTACAAAAGGTTGTTGGAGAGAAGCAAACCTGAATTATATAGAGTACAATCACGTTGAGAGAACAAACTAAATATATATATTATATACAGTGCAATCATGTTGAGAACAAACTTCAGTAGCCTCTTTAAATAACAGAGCGCCTACATAGCCTGAGTACAGTTGAGACACCTTGGTTTGACTTATCGAGACTATTTCCTAAGATGGCTCCTGTCTGTATACGCAAAGTGAACTGTCTTTATAAAGTATCTTCTTATTAAACGGTCTGTACACTTACAACGTTCTCAATGCTTCGTTTTGCATGTGTGGGCCCTCATTATGTTACTGTGTTATCGGATGGGTTCCCGCTTCCAGCTGACCTAATTTATGCAGTCTAACAATCATATTACATGATTTGAATTATAGAAATTGATAATGTGTTGTGAATGCCAGGTTAAAGAGTTGTTTTGTATTGTAATGATTATTGACATTCAACTGAAAGCCATTCAATGATTCATAATGAGAATTAAAAGTAACTATATATATATAAATCTAAGCAGGGAAATTGATAATGTGGTTTATTTCTGATGCCTTGACTAGCAGAAGTTCAGAATGGCTGGTCGGGTGACCAATCGGCCTGTGAGCGGAAGTTCATGGCAATATCATATTTGTGAGCGTATGAAAGCTAAAGCGAAGAAGGTAATGCGTGTACAGAAATGAGTTTAACGCTCTCTTCGTAAGAACGGGACCGTGTCCTGATAAATAATTAAAACGCTCAGCACAAGATCCTCTCGCCTTGATCGCGTTCCTGGATTGTGATCACGATCGTCTCGTTGAAGTACTTACCTCTCTCGCTCAAAGATACAGTCCCAGCTGTCATTCCCGTCTCCCATCGTTGACAATCCAGAAACATAAATGGGATCACAGCTCTTTTTGTCCTTGTCAATCAGAAGCGCGGCGTCCCTGTCTCCGGGCCGCAGGCGGGACTTCGGGGAGGGGGTGTCACACGGCATTACGGTCCTGCAAACGGAGCAAAAAGCAGCTTTTTAACATAACAAAAAACCAAGCGATGCATTATTAAACGGGCAGATCAAGCACAATTTGAGTAAAGATGTTGAATGTTGAGCCACGGGTTTCAGCAGAGCAACAGCGACCGCTCAGCCGCGCTCGACATGAATAAATGATGACCAGAAGATCAGCGGCGTCCGACGTGAGCTGTGTCTGACGGACGTGCAGGAGTCCAGCTGTAGCGACACACACACACACACACACACACACACACATCTCGGGGCCCGTCTTCCCTCTGTTCCGCACAACTCTCACCTGATTGCCATTCGTTTGCAATAGATGCAGTGTGAGCAAACAAAAAAAACAGTGATGTCTCCAGAGGGTCAGAGTGTGTGTGTGTGTGTGTGTGTGTGCGTGCGGAGGTTCCTCTCTGATTAGGCTGTTTGGGACACACACTCTCTCTGACCTTGAGAACTTCTTCCTGCCGTCCTTGAATTAGACACTGCAGGAGAAAATAACAGGCAATATTCTCAGTTGCACTAGTGTGTGTGTGTGTGTGTGTGAGTGAGAGAGAGAGAAAGAGAGAGAGAGAAAGAGATTGCTTTTATGAAGCACATATTTGAAATGTATATTATTAGACTAATAAAATAATGACTAATAATATGGTTATAAACCTTGTTTTGAGTCTTTTAATCCATGTCTGTTGTCCATCAGAAATACTAATTCAGAGAAAACCCCGTCCATCACAAACATTCGCTAAATCTATCGAGTCGACTGGAAATATGATTTACAGTCAATAAAAGAAGGGCTGCTTCAGTCTCCTCACACACAGCGTTTCTTTATACAAACCACGAATACAGGAGATTCTGGCCAATCAGCATCCGTTTAACACAACGTTTATCATAGCGTACTTCGACTGACTGCCTGTGTTTTCTCTCTTCCTTTTTTTAAAATGGTAGGATCTGCTCTTCTTCACGTCACATGATAATTCAGAATGAACATCGTCGAATCCTTTCTAATGACCTGAAAAATGCTCAGTATTCTTCTGTTTAATAAAATGCTCAGTCCCAACTACATTTGCAACATGGTGACAGTCGTTTCATATCATAAAATCAATAAATGTGAGCGATTACAAGAGATTTGGCTCATTTGGACGGCGGTGAAACATGTTGCTAAAGTTGTTTGGAGATGGGTCCTCCGCGTGGTGGGCATTTCTAAAGCCGAACATCAGACTCCTGAAGCTCATTGTGGAGCGCACACATCTCTGGGCAAGTCTTTTGTTCTCACTTGGGAACCACTTATAAGAAAACAAGTCTAGGGTTTTAGCTCTAAAAGCTCATGCCAATAATGGTGTTTCCATAGCAATCCAAGCACACGGCCGGCTAAAACATAGCATGGAGACTGTGCAATCCGAAGCACCTTTGACCTCTGACCTCCTGCTAGATGATATGGATCAATAGGACCAGTTAAAGTTCTCGGAGCTGAATGGAAGTTTGTCAAAAGAATAACTGTGATTCTTCAACTAGTAAACAGAGCCGTGACGCGAGTGTCAAACGCATGAATAGAGGCTCCATTTCAGAGCTTCTGCAGTGCGACTTTAAAATCTGTTTTTCCCTCAATCCCTTCTCCGTGCTCTTTGCTTCCTTCCTGAACTTGGGTGACTTTATCTTTCTCTGTCTTTTGAGCTGAATTGATGTGAGTGCTGGAAACTCACTGTTCGACTCTGTGCTGAGCGTCCTGACGGTGAGTGTGCAGGCAGACAAAGGTCAGAGGTCACAGACACATGTTTTTTAGCAGAGCTGAGATGGAGACAAGGCCACGGGGCAGTGCAACACACACACACACACACACACACACACACACACACACACACATGGCGCATTCATAACAAAAGCAGAAAATATCCATCACGCCGTAACTGCTTCGTGAGACGGACTTACACAGCAGTCGATCATCTAACAGCGTCTCTTTACTGAATCTGAAGAGCCGATTACACACACACACACACACACACACACACGACTCTCCATCTGTAAATCAATGTGCAATTAATTTTCAGGCTTAATAACTGTAAATATCATTATCGTTCAATTCGTGATAAATGATCATTTGAATATACAAAATACAGAAAATACATTTTAATCATTACATTTATTCTTAAAATCACATCTATTGAAATACATTTAATTTTAAATCTGAACTGTGGATATTTGCAAAATAATGTCGATAGACATGACTCCAACACAGTAATGCAGTGTGTGTGTGTGTGTGTGTGTGTGTGTGTGTGAATGTAAAAAGAAATAACTGGAGCAGGTTGACGACTATAAGTAACTTTGCAACTACATGTCAACTAACTCTCAGTAGAGTATCAGTAGACCGTCTGCTTAATATCTGCCAACTCTTTACGTTTTCTCTTGTTTGGTGGGTGTGTCGGAACTGCAGTCCAA